AACTGAATTTATATGTAATAATTGTATGTGTTGTAGATCTAGGCATATGAAACTGTCCCCCTCTGGGTACCCAGTTTGCCAGGCGAGGGGAGACATCCTGCCCTTGGATGCATCATTGGTGAGCAACCCAAGAAGAAAAATGTCCATTTTGAAAACAATTAACAGTCCTCATAGACGACCCTCATGTGACCGTTAAACATTTGCGATTTATATTGAAATTCGTTTCAAAATTTCATCACATGGTAATTAATTAGTTGAACTATCAATATATCACCTTGAAGTCATAATTAAGTTGACACTATCACGGAGGAGGAGGGTCAAGGTTTTGTGTGGAAATTAGCCGTTTCGCATACTCAACACAACCAGATGTCCGATTTCATCCTGGACCGAGATTGGGTATAAGTTAGCATAATTTAACTAAGTTAATATTTTTTAATGTTTTTATTTGTGTATGAGGGTGGTCCAGTTGATCAACGATAACCTTCATCAATGGGATCACCTTCGTCGATGGGATCACCTTCGCCAATGAGATCTCCTTCTCCTCCATCCAAACACCTCCCTTGTGGATCTCTTGTACATTGTTAGAGTCGGTATTTCCATGATCTGTATGCCCACCTGATTGGATTTATGGCCAAGGAGGTGAGTGCGATACGGGAGAACGTAAGGACATTACGATGAGAGATGAATGAAGAAGTAGTGACGTTATGACGAAAGATGAGGGAAGAGGTAGGCATGCTACAATGATGAATGAGCGGCGAGGTATCAAGTTTATACCATGATGTTACATTACTACAAGGCCATGTAGCATAACATTAGGATGAGGTCGAAACGCTCCAAGGCGATATAGTAGACATACGAGGGGGTGATAGATGGGGTGATGGAGGAGGTGATGGTGGATAGATGATGATGCATTCGAATAATCTTTTTATCTGTAGAGTGGGATGGGTGGCCCCGATGGGGACGAAAGAGGTAGTAGAGGAGAAAAGGATTAACGCGGGACGAATCGGATGACTGAGGAGGAGGCGGTGCCTGAGGCAAAGAGAGTAACCCCAATAACGGAGGGGTGGCTTCAACGATGGCGGAGATGGCGAGCCTTAGGGCGAAGGGAATGGTGGTTCTCGAGGTAGAGGATGTGCTCAGGATGGAAGGGGTGGCCTCGATGATGGAGGAGATGGCAAGGCCCCGGGTGAAGGGGGTGGTGGAGGAGAGGATGCAATTGTGACGGAGGGTGACTAGATGAGGTGGTCTGCAAAATGGTGAGATTGTCCTCATAGTATGTCATTTTTCCCTTCACGGTTGAGGTGAAGAGGAGGACGTTTATCGACGGGACATACCTCAATCTCTTCCAGGAGGTGGATCATGTCAAGTGGAAGGCATTTGAGACAGAGTGGCGAAGAATAATTCCCAGGTAATTATTTTATGATTTTAGTGAAATTCGTTACACTAACTCATCTATGCTTTTTTTCACAGTTTTTCTATTTTTTTTAGAACTAGCCACATGATAGGTGAAAGGATGATCACCGATGCCTATAAGTGGTTTCACGATGTCACGACTTCTAGTGCCTGACTCACTAACGACGTAAGTGTAATATCGCAATTGTTATTTATTATGTATATATCATTTTTTGTTTATTAAATTAAATAACTTCCTTTATTTTTTGTTGGCATTTCTTGTGATCATTTCGGTGAATTCCCACTTCACAAGTATGCTCCCATGAATACTTAACGAACTACAAAAAATTCATTTGTGTCTATCTTCGTCCCTCGTAAACGCCAATGGAAACTGTCATCGACGTAGACAATCGTCAGTAATGACTTCTTTGTTTTCTTTACTTTGAACTCAAGTTGTATTTGAGTGCAATTCAGTGCGCAACTTCTAGCAAATCTTCTTTGTTTCAAAAATTTGCTCAACATACAAATCCTCATCATCAGGAATTACTCGTGAAGAATTAGATGACGGTACACTCGATCCAGCCCCTGCGCTCCCACCCAACTCATGTCTTTGACGTGATAAAGCAATCAAATCCTCATTTGTAAATTCATTATCATTCTTGTTGTCATGAAGTACCAACAGAATTCTATACCAACAGAATTCTATGTGAAACAATGAGATTACGATGATGATCAACTGTCTCGAGAATACCCACATTATCCTCTCGAACTATCTCTATTGTGTCTCAAAAATCGTTAACATTGTGATCCCTTTTATCCAATTTTTTGTGTTCATCTTCGGTAACATTCTTTCTCACTAAAAGAGGAGTTGTACACATGTTGTTCAATTCAAATAGGTAATTCACTTTGGCATAAAAAACAACCTTCATAGGTAGAATCGGAATGGATGAATGCTCATTGAATTTAAATTTCAGTTCCATATCGTACTAAGAGAGATCGACTTTGAACTTGTTTTGTAAATCATGGTACATTTTCGCATGTGATGTGCTCGATGTTATGGACATTGAAATACCACCACGTATATCACTCGACCATCCCATACCCATCGATCTTTTTCATCCAATTCGAAATCACCAAATAAATTGGAACCACAACCATATCTGTATGACGAAACATAATTTTTAATTATAAAAAATGAAAATAGTCAAAAAATCAACCCAACCACTGGACTGTTATGATTTTAAAAAAAATCAGCTTGAGCGAGATGTTAACGGTCAGCTGTTAACATCAACAGCTGGCTGTTACCACAACCATGATATGCAGATGAATTTTTTTCTTGTTTATGCTTTAAAAAACTGTAGATCTATTAAAAAAAATTATCTACATGTTAATCTAAGTCGAAATAAGATTTATCGATTAAAAACGTATACTAATTTAACGAAAACGAAATTAAATATACTGTACTTATCGATTCGAAATGACAGACGTAAAAAAAATTCTTGTTCAGTGTTTGATCAATTTCTAAGATTTTGAGATTGAAGCAGATGAAAAATGAGAGTGTTTCTAACTGTGTTGGAATAAACATATAGGAAAAGTTAGTTGATTTTGAAATTTTACGTGGGAAGCGTTTAGTTTTTACTTGTTAACTAAAATGGTAGTATTGTCTTTTAGTTGAAAATTATTTTTTGTAATTGTATTGTTTACTCAAGGGCATTTTTGTCTTTTACAATTCAAAATGTCATTGTGGAGATGTGTCATTGTTGAAAAATTCAAAGTGGAACTATGGAGATTTGACCATGCCATTTTTAAAAGTACTCACTTATCACTCTATCCTCTATACCCACTCCGCCATACTATTTCGGCAATTTGAGCTATGAGCAAAGGTGGCACCTCTGATGGTGCCCAGATTTGACAGCATTATTTGTGGTGGTTTTGTACAAATAATCTCTTTCATTTGCTCGATAGATTTCGAATCAGGTTCGTCCATAGAGGATGCAGATGAGGTATACTATGGAAAGTTTTTTATAGATGAAATTAGAGGGTAATTTGATCTGGGCTCTTGGATTTTGGGGGATTAGTCAAATCTTTTGACTAATGAAAATCAAGATTTTGGTACTGTAGTCCTTTGGTATGGTCGGTTGACATTTTGGTCTATTTCTCTTGTTTGGATTGGGCTTATTTGTAAAGGTTTTATAGTGCTTTTGTGGTGGTTTTTGAGGTGGTGGTGCTGGCGATGGTTAAACGTTCATAGAATGTATGTTAAATGTTGTGTTGATATTTGTTGGTGGCACCGAAGGTTATGATAGGTCACATGTCAAAGGTTATTATGCGTAGGTCATTTATAAATTTCTACATGTCACACATCAAATATCACACAAGTCAATGTCTAAAGGTCACAAATTCAAAAAAACTTACCACAGACCATTGTATCAACATCACATGTAACAGTTTACATGCACTTCACGCACCAAAAATTTACACTGAATTTGATCCATCCAACATCGCTATTTCTACCACCACCTACACATCCACTATCATCAACACCCACCCACCCACCCAAAGAAAAGAAAACCATGAACAATCTCCGACCACTACGCTGTAAGTGCCACCGCTCACAAATGCACATGCCACTATTCAGTTAGCATCACTACACCTTTCCGAGCATAGCAAGGCTCACTTCTGAGCAATGTCGACAATGAGCACCGCTATTAGAGAAAGAAGGTAGAGAGAGAAGATGATAGGGGGAGAGAGAATGGAGAGAGAAGGAATTGGAGTAGGTCGAGATATTAGGATGGATATTTATTAAATATATAATATATTATTTTATATATAATATTTATTAATTATCACTGGAATTTTGAATTTTTAAATCTTTTCTCTTAAAATTGAATTAGGGTATAGTTAAGGCCTGAGTTATGTATTCTTCCCTTGCTATTATGTATTCTTAGAAGTGTTATTTATGTTTCACAAACAATTTAACAATATAATATATAAATAAATATGTCTAACATTTTTAAATTATGGATTAAAAATTGACAAGTAGGTCAAACTAGCTCAATTAACCCACTCTATAAGTAGGGATGGAATGACAATGGGCAGGGACGGGGCATCATGAGATTTGCTACGTCGACAACTCACATAGAGGGGTGGTGGGTGGGTAATTTTTTTTGTACTTTTTTTATTGAGATGGGTACCAAGAGTTGGGGATGGGTGGATAATTTTTATTTTTTTACTTTTTTATTGAGGTGGGTCCACCTCATGTGAGAGGGGGTAGAGGTTCCCTGTACATTTGGCTTGTTTTATCAATCAGTTGGCAAAAAACAAAGAAAAACACAAGGGGATTAACTCTTTTTGGATAGACTGGTTCAGGCCTCCAGAATCCATCTATTTTGACAGGTTCAATTTTATTATATACAAGAAGAGGACCCACACTTCTCAATGTATGTCATAGAAATAAGAAAAATCTGAACTGAACAAAACCAAAGGAGCGAAACTGACGACTTATCTTTAACTGAAATACACACACACGCACTATATTTTCACACTTTCCTTAACAATCTTATCCTTTAGAAAACAAAAAATTTATTCACTTGAGACATTTAAAAGAAATGGCAGAATCTCCCAATACAGCAATCTGCTTAGTCACTGAAGCCGAAGTTTCTGCTTTACCTGAGAAAAGTATTGGGACTAAAGGTTTGCTTAAAACTATACTCCGAAAGGGAAATTCGTGGCAAACTCCAATTCCTGGTGATGAAGTTGAAGGTACAAATATTTATTTTTATCAATGTACAGACAGTTTTTATAAACTAGTGATGATGAGACTTGACTACAGTTACTTGACCATATTGAACAGTCTCGTTAGAGAAGATACATTTATTTATTTAAACTGGATTTCGACATAATCACCTCGAAGCCTTCTAACACAGAATTTGGTCTGTTTCTTGTGACAGTTCATTACAGCGTTGGGCTTCAAGATGGAGAATATTTTGATTCAAGTCGCAATAAGGGAACCCCTTTTGTTTTCAAATTAGGCCAATGTAATGTCCTGCATTATCCCATTTTTCTGTGACCCCTGTTACAAAACTTTGAAGTTCTAGCTTTATGTTTATCAGCAGTTTTATTATATGGCATTTTTATACATATTGGTTGATAGAATTTTGTTTTCTTCAAATAAAAACAAGCTATGGCTTTTGGCCTGGTCTTAGGCTCTGACTTTTTAACTCGCCCTCCATGAACGAACCTTGGTAAAAACTGTGACAGGTGAAGTTATCGAAGGATGTGACGAGGGAATAGCCACTATGAGAAAGAGTGAAAGAGCAGTTTTCACAATACCACCAGATTTAGCTTATGGGGAAGCTGGTTCTCCACCTATGGTTCCTCCAAATTCAACACTCATATTCGACGTAGAGTTGATTTTGTGGAACCCCATCAGAGATATCACGGGTGATGGAGGAATATTGAAGAAGATAACCCGGGAAGGGGACGGATGGGCTACTCCAAACGATGCAGATGAAGTTCTAGGTAACTAACTCGCCCTATTTTCCAGTGCATGGTCTCAGAAACTTTGTTGTCTGAAAGTATAAGCTATTAGAAATGGAGAGGATGAAATTATAATGCTTTTTATCTTTCATGCAGTCAAGTATGAAGCAAGGAGTGAGAAGGGAATAGTAATCTCAAAATCTGATGGACAGGAATTTTCTTTGAAAAATGGTCATTCAAAGTTGATTTTTTTTCTTTACACAATATGCATTATTCATTTTTAATCCTACAGATAATTAATTTTATTATATCTTTAATTAGGTTATCTGTGTTCTGCCATGAGCAAAGCTGTCAAAACCATGAGAAAGGGTGAGAAAGCTGAGCTTTCTGTCAAGTTCTCATGTAAGTAGATATAAGTCTTCAGTCACCTTAACTGCATAGTGTAAACTTATATATTTCTTTAAAAACATAATTCGACTCTCCATTTTTAACCCATAAATTTTTATTTTAGATGGGCTTAGGCAATCCGAAGATGGGACTTCTATGATTGATGGGGTTCCACCTTATTCTAATTTGATCATTACTCTTGAATTGATATCATGGAGAAGTGTTATAGATGTCATGGGAGATGAGAAAATCCTAAAGAAAATAATGAAATTGGGTGAGGGCTTTGACCGGCCAAGTGACGGATCCCTTGCGAAAGGTAATTTAAGCAAAGAAACACATAAAAAACTTAATACATATATTTCTGGTCCGAAGTTTTTTGCTTTTGAAGTGATCTCACCTGAATTCTTTTTCTTTTAAAGTGATCTATGTTGGTAAACTCGAAGATGGTACTGTTAATTCAAGAAAAGGATCCGAAGAAGAACCTTTTGAATACACATGTTCAGAAGGTACGTTTTAACTCTTTCCTGCCTATTCTTCAATCTAATTTTGGAAATAAGTACTATTCACAATAAATCTGAGATTTGATCGAATGTAATACTTTTTCACCGTTTCCTTTGTCATTCACAGGAAAAATCGAGGAGGGTTTAGATAGAGCAGTAATGACTATGAAAAGAGGAGAAGAAGCTATAGTCAAGATCAGCTCTGATTTTTGTTATGGCTGTGAAGTTGGAGGAAGAAATTCTTCAGCTTCAGTGCTTTATGAAATCAAATTAGTAGATTTCACCAAGGTTTTTCCTACGCAACTTTCACCTACGCATTACATTCTTCAGCTTCACGGGTTTATCAAATCAAAACAACTCTATGAAGTTTAAGTTGTTCAGAAAAAAACATGAATTTTTTGGATCAGCATGGCATAATTTAAGTGTGAGATATGTATCTTGGGTGCAGGACAAACCATTTTGGAAAATGGAGGTCCAAGAAAGAATGGAGGCTTGTGAGAGAAAGAAGCATGAAGGGAATATGCTGTTCAAAACTGGAAAATTTCAGCTTGCGTCAAAGAAGTATGAGAAGGAATGTGATCTAGGAAAACATAGTAATATTGAATAGAAGACACGTGCACGCATACAAGCACAGAGCACAAAGCTTGAGCCCCATTTTTTCAAAAATACATTTTTTTTTCAAAACTTATTTTTAGTCATACATTCTCATATAAAATAATTTTACACGTTAACCAAAAATCTTTACTTAAATTTTAACCATACATTCTTCAACAAACCGTTATTTCAAAATACATTTTACTCAAAAATGGGGATCAAACATGAGTAAAACATTTTTTCTTCACAAACTAAAATAAAGTTGTCTCAATTCCAACATTCTGCAGGCTTCAGAATATATTGAATATAACCACTCCTTCAGTGATGAAGAAAAGCTGCAGGCAAATTCTTTGAGAATATCATGTTATTTGAACAATGCGGCCTGTAAACTGAAACTGGGAGACTATCTCGAGGCCTCTAGACTGTGCACCAAGGTTTCTCTACCTTTCTCTTTTCTGTTTCGCATAAATTTATTGCAAATACATAATGTTCAAATAAGTCTTCATTCAGCTAATTATAAATCGGTTTACTTAGGTCCTGGAACTCGATTCATTCAATGTTAAAGCTCTCTTCAGAAGGTCCCAAGCCTATATGAGTACATCCCATTTAGAGAAAGCAGAGTACGATTTGAACCGTGCATTAGCCATTGATCCAAGAAACAAGTATGTTCCCAAAGCCTTCCCATTTTCCTTACTTTTTCCTGTCATCACATTCTTGAAGAAAATCATTCCTGATGTACTTAAATATAATTGTGCACTATCAGAGATTTGAAACTCAAACACAAGGAACTGAAAGAGAAGCAGAGACAATATTTTCAAGAAGAAGCTAAGATTTTCAGTACCATGGTTTCAAGGATAAGGTAGGTGTTCTTTCCGTTGGATAAATGCTGGCTGTCTTCAACTCAACCAGTACACAAAATTTACAGCAAACGGGCATTCAACATACAAGAAACTCGTGCATCAAAATCTGTAACAACACTTGAAATTTATCATAATGTGTGAGGACAATCATAATAGTTAATATCAATTGTTGCTACTTCATTCCATCTCGCAGATACCAAAACTGGGGTCGAGTTAAGCCATATTCTAATAATTAGAAGTTCAAATTTTATGAAATCCTAATATGGTTCAAATATGACGGTGAAGAATAATCATATCAATTTTCAGCTGAAATGAAGGAAGTAGTTAATTTATACAATCCGGGTCACAATTTTCTAGTTGAGATTTTCCAAAATAGTAAAGGAATAAATTAACGGATAATTACAAGATTTGGTCATAATTTGCAAAGTTGAGATATAAATCTTCAAACTTTAATAATGAACTGTATATGCGTCCCCTTCTGAACCTCCAACCGCATGGGAGGAGATACGCAATTATACTGCTGACGATCGATAACTGCAATTTGACTTCATCGTAAACATACATGATATTAATATGCTTTCACTACTTTAAATACTTCATTAGCCAATAAAAGTATTCTTCGTATAACCCATCTCTGTGGATATACATAACACTGTGTCACAGTATTACATGACAAAAACATTAGCAATTGCGTAACCCATAATTGCAACATCATGCAGTGTAAAGAAGTGTTATGCCTGAAAGAGGGATACTCCTCTGTTCACTGCAGAAGCAAACAACCTGAGAGAGGAAAGAAAACAAACACCTTCTTGGAAACAGGAGATTTATGTCTAATAGATTGAAGTGAGATTTCAATATATATATATATGAAGAACACCAAAGAAATGCAGACACCAAGAAAGAAGAAGCTTTAATTTTTACCCAAGAGAGGAACAACCTCTTGTACAAAGCTTCAGATTCTACAGCTCTCTTGCTACAGGTTTCTATATATTTTTTGTTTTGGTCTCATCCTTGCCCATATACATAGGTTATGGGCCCAAGTAACTTTCAAAAAAAAAAATAAAAGAAAAAAGGCCCAACCCACTTACAAAATACAATGGGCTGCCTTACCCAAAAAAAAAACCAGTTTAATAGCAATTCTCC